CGCAAAAGTGGCACAAAGCTAACATTATTCATTGAACTGATCTACAAACAAAATGGACGGTATCTGTAAACGAAAAAAAAAACCGTGATTAATACAGCCATAAAATAGCGTTTACGAATCGTTATACAGAGCTACGAAAAGCCAAACAAAGGAAGTCTAACCGGGTGACCTGTCTACGGAGATCTTTAATCTATGTCCCGCACCAGGAATACGACGAATAGGTTCGACGACCTCGCGGTTGCATCAATTCAGTTTAATTGTTCCGCCTCCGTATTTGTTTATTTTGTTGGCCAATCGAAAGAACGGCGCGTCTCTTTTGATGTCGCTTCTGTTAAAGATTGCTTCCTCTATGACGAGAAGCTCTGGGGAGTGCGGCTTTTTAAGGAAGCGTTTTTCACATTTATTAATGTGGTGTATTTATTTTTATGGCACTGTTTATTGGTGGCAGATGTTAGTCGGAGTGACGGTTCTAAACTTAGACGTGACATAAATAAAAAATGAATGTACTCTTTTCTATAAATCAAGCTGAAATAAACTAAAGCATATGTATACATAATAATATGGAATATTCTGGAATGATTAAGCAATAATAAAATAATTGCATTTTCTGTGAAATACTAAGAAAACCACATTTAAACGCATTAATCTCATTATTAAATTATTATTTAAAATAGTAATTACGCAATTTAAAGAAGGCAAGTTCACTTTTATATAAGTGAACTTGCCTTTTTTCTCAATGACTGACAAGTTAGTGAATCTGTCTAAGAAAATGTTTTTTTTTAAACTAAAGGTTTTTCTTTACATCTCTCTCTCCCTCTACCACTAGGGTTTGAAATTATTTTTTCTAATTCATTTTTTTCTTCTTTCTAATCTTTAATCTCTTCTGGTAAAAAAGCCACAATAAATTTTATAATATCAAATAGATTAGTCTCTTTCTTTTTATGTCCTGTATTGACTGCGACAGATTTTCTTCGATTTTCAATGGATCAATTCTTAACTCATCTAATTTTCTCCTATTTAGTTTGTGACCATTTTCGACATATTATATCGTATCACCTGTTTTAAAATCATGATTTTTTATCGCCTTTTATCGATATTAATAATTTGTTTTATTAAATGAAGGAGTTCCTAAGGTTTCAAAGCAGAGATTTACGTGGTACTTTCCGTGACCACGTAATTCGAAACGCTAGATTTGACCTCAAACCACCCATGTGGGGTGGCTATGTGGTCCTTGAAGCCATTAAACAACCCCGTTGCGTTTCGAGAGCGGAACATCAGTTGTTCGGTTGTGAATTCAACTTGAAATGTACGACCATTTTTTTATATATTGTTACGCCGGTAAGAGTAACGCCATCTATCGTCGAATAGCCGAACGAATATAAAAGGTTCTAATAAAATCTACAACGCTCGCGAAGCACAACGCCATCTGTTGTCAGATAGTGGAAACACACATCGAAGGTACTCGACTTGTGAGGAATGTTCTCGACGATTCTAGGGCTGCCGTATCAACTATCAAAGCGTTGCAGAGATGGCACGCAGCTATTTGGTAATCGGAACTACTCGAAGCGAAACAGCGAACGGATCACCTGAAGCAAAGCGGATGAAGGGAATTGAGAATTTTATGTGTTCTCAGCGTTAATACAGTTTTAAGTTGTACTTTGGTGGAGCATTTATTTATCCCGAACCCCAGCGCGTAACGATATTTTTTATGAAGGAAGGATTACTGGTGGCCCTAAAGCCTTTCCAGTTTCACCAGGACATGTGGGCGAGCAAAGGCTCAGCCAGAAGCAAGGGCTTAGCCAGAGTATCTACGACAACATGATTCAAATTCGAAAAACAAAAAAGTTTGCCGACAGTACACAAGAGAGTTCTGCTCCTAGATAAAACATTTCAGACCGTAATAGCCTGCGTAGTCATTCACAATTTCGTTTGCCATATAGACTTTATCAATCACGCGACGCCCGTAACCAATGCCATTTGCCCCGGCACTCAAACACCCAAGCAAATGCGGGCAAACTAGCCCAATAAAACGTTTTTTTTTTATTGCCCTTTTAGGCAGATGAACGACTTGCAGTAGACAAGCTAAAACGGAGTCACGATCCTCAGCAATGAGGGAGCGATGGAGAAGAAGGCAGACGAACATACGACCCACCTGATGGTGAGTGGTTACCGTCGCCCATGGACTTCAGCAATGCCAGGGGCAGAGCCAAACCGCTGCCTGCCGCTTAATACTCTCCACAAGCCTCGTTTGAAGAAGGACATGTCATAGCGCTCGGGAAGCACCGTGGAGGGGAGCTCATTCGATAGCCGGATGTTACGTGGCAAAAAAGATGTCTGGAAACGCACTGTGGATGAACGCAGTGGCTCCAGGTAGTATGGATGAACTCTACTCCGGTGGCGGGCGGTGCGATGGTAAAAACGAGATGCCGGTATCATCTCGAACAATTCTCCAGAGCACTCCCCATGGAACATACGGTACAAAATACAGAGGGAACCAAAGTCACTCCGCAGAACCAGAGGTTCCAAACGTTGGAACGTTGGCTTATGTTTGCCGCTAGGGGCGCTGTTCCAACTGCATACAAATTTGAGTTAACGTTTACGCTATCGAGAACGTTAAAAAACTCGCACTAAGCACACTAATTAAGATTTTAAAAAAAAGGCCTTTTTATTATCACTTTTTTTACGGTTTAAAATTTACATATTCATTTAAAAACCAAGCATACTAGCGTAATAAATTATAAGCGGTGAATTATAATATCGATTAAGTTCCTATTTTCGTTTTCATAATTTATAATCGACTTATCTAGGTGTCATTGACCTCAATGACAGCAATTATTATTGTAATTGTCGTAATTAATAATTGTGCTGGTAAAAATTTCTGTTTACAACTAACTACTAGCCACAGCCGCCTTAATTGCATATAGATAATTTTAACTGATTAGTTAGATTATTAATGTTTGCGTGTTTAGTAATGATTTTAATGTGTGTTTATATAGTTAGAATAGGAATTATATTTGATCAAAATCGTAGTGTACATTAATAAATATGGATATATATCTCATCTTTAGAATTGAAGTAGCTAAATCTAAAATCTTTTTTTCTTTTTTGTAAACGCCAAGAATATAACTGAAGAATTGTAATTTTTCAATTTTGATTTTAATACTTTAAGCCTTAAAGCGCATATCTTAAAGTTTAAAGTATGCGCTTGATTTAAAATAGAGAAAAGTGTACTTTCTAAAGTTATTTTCTAAAAAATTTTGTTAAGCCACTTTAATCCTAAAGGTACACCTTATATGAAATTCTCGAAATGTATGTTTGATTTTTTTTTTATGGCTTAGATGGTGGGTGGAACTTGTAACTATACTTGAGACCTTAGAAGTTATATCTCAAGGTGGGTGGCGCATTTACGTTGTGGATGTCTATGGGCTCCAGTAACCACTTAACACCAGGTGGGCTGTGAGCTCGACAACACATCTAAGCAATAATAAAAAAAAAATTGTTAAGTCACTTCAATTCTAAAGGTGGAATATGTGAAATTCTCGAATTATATGTTTGATTAGCATTTTTCTAACTGTTACGTGAAATTAGTTGAGACCTAAACTTGGCTTTTACATCCCTACAACAGAAGGGCCGTGTGCTCCAGCGCCACTGACGCTAATATCAATTTTTTACTGGTGGTAGGACCTCTTGTGAGTCCGCGCGGCTGGGTACCACCACCCTGCCTATTTCTGCCGTGAAGCAGTAATGCGTTTCGGTTTGAAGGGTAGGGCGGCCGTTGTAACTATACTTGAGACCTTAGAACTTATATCTCAAGGTGGGTGGCGCATTTGCGTTGGGGATGTCTATGGGCTCTAATAACCACTTTACACCAGGTGGGCTGTAAGCTCGGCACGCATCTAAGCACTAAAAACAAAACAGCAGAACACTTTCTACGTAGATTTTAGTCCAAAAAAAACCGAACAAACAAATTCATAGCGTTAAATAAATATTCTTATGGCGGCTCGCAATTTTTCAGTTCGTTGAACACCCCTGGGAAAATTACTAGTTTCGATTCGTTTTAAAATGTACCTTAAAGTAGAGTTTCGCAGCGTCCAAATTAGACTGTAGGTGAATTATATTGAATAATCTAATCGGGACGATCGAAACAGCCGGCCGTTTGCGGCTTGAAGTGAAAACTCACTATAAAATTGCTTTACACTTTCAATTAATTGTTCATTTTCTTCTCTTTAATTTTTAACGCGCTTTTATTGTAATTATCGGTGGGCAGCGGCTTGGCTCTGCCCCTGGCATTGCTGAAGTCCATGGGTGACGGTAACCACGCACCATCAGGTTGGCCGTGTGCTCGTCTGCCTACGAGGGCAATAAAAAAAATGCTTGTTCGCATGAATGTCGTCCGGGTGTACCTGAAATGGCTCCATAGAACCAGCGAATAGGCAGGGAATAAATACGGATGGAATCTTTGAACATCTGAGGGTTAATGTGCTCGAAGAGTCCTTCATCGTAAACGACGGGTTCGACAAGAACGGTGACCAGTGCTTGAGGTACCTAAAAGCACCATTAGTGGATCCCACACTCCATTTTTTTCCCTCCCTAAGCTGATAGCCTTGAGAGGCTATATCAGCGGAACCTTAACTAGTAGGTGAGCTCAGGGGGCTCAAACCTGACGACGTTGCCAACACGAACCCTAGCAAGAGCCGTGCTTCGCAGCATCTACCACCGGATCGGAAACGCGACCGAGAAGATCCGGCGAGTAACTCAGTGGGCTGTGTCTGAGAATTAATTTACTCGTCGAGCCCTTCGTCGCAAGCGACGGGTTCGACGAGAACGATGACCGGTGCTTGAGGTACCCAAAAGCACCGTTAGTGGATCGGGAGGATCGGAAATGACGTGCCACGATCCATTATTTGTCAGGCGTACCTATTTATAAGACAACTTGGAAATCTCGTAAGCGCGATTCAGAAGTTCTCCACAACAACGTGCAGATGTCGCTACAAACTCACCTCAAAGCGCTTCCCTGCTCCCGAACGTCGACCCCATTGATGTTATCCTCGTTTCTCGTCTGTAGACCGGACATTTTCCGCGAATCAGGACGAGGCGTGAAGACGCCAGCACCAATCGGATCACGTCGTGTCGGAACGGCGGCGTGACGTCATCGTTCTGCAAACGAAAAGGTGATTCTGAATTCGTTGCGCGTTACCTACCGGTCGACGATGAAATGCGTAGCTTGGAAAGACGTAGGGTTGTCAAGTTTTTAAGAATTTATTTATTTAAGTTTTTTTTTTATATGCTATTTGTCACATGTGACCATCACCTATCGTATAATAACCTATTTAATAACCTATTTTATTAATACAAGCAGAGTGTTTGGTATTCGGACCTCGGACTCCTAAGTTCGTAGCTGGATTAGATAGGGTGTTTGAAAAAAAATCTCTTTTATTTTACGCAAACACTATTAATACTACATTTTATAGTATTCAGTAGTTCAATTTACTAAACCATGCATTACAAATTCCTAGAGGTTCATTTTCTCGGAGAAACTTTTTATCATAATCTAAGTTACAAAATGTTCACTGTTTGCCTTCAGCTGGACTTATAATAAATATACCCAACCAACGTTAATTGCTTTAAATAAAAACGATTTACTGAAAACACCCGCGAGCTACCAGTTGTATTATATTATGTGGATGGTATTATCATAAATATTCCTCTGTGTATCATAAATTTTTTTTATTGCTTAGATGGGTGGAAGAGCTCACAGCCCACCTGGCGTTAAGTGGTTACTGGAGCCCATAGACATCTACAACGTAAATGCGCCACCCACCTTGAGATATAAGTTCTAAGGTCTCAATATAGTTACAACGGCTGCTCCCCCCTTCAAACCGAAACGCATTACTGCTTCACCGTAGAAATAGGCGGAGTGGTGGTACCTACCCGTGCGAACTCACAAGAGGTCCTACCACCAGTACATAAAATAAAAAATTACATGTGTACAATTCACACGTGGTAGAAGTGAAACCTTCCAAAATTAAAATACAATTATCCTAAACGTCTTAAGTATATGTAAAATTTTATCATTAGTAAATAATTGTAAGGTAGCGCCCTCTGTGAATTAATATTTTAATTTCACGTATAATCCTAAATTAAAATTCACTACAAGAGCTTTCATACACACGTTAGTATTAAAAAATCACATCATCACAGATGGCGCTGTATTAAATAGTATGTATATTTCTGTCTCATTCTTTGCTGGCTTCATCCTACACATTTTTGTATTTGTGTCTCTTACCTGTCGTTTTTTCCGTTGCATCCGGTTTGAAATCACAACGATTCTAAAGAAGTTTTCACTTCAAAATATACCTATTTTATAAGAAATTTATTTATTTCACATTGTCATCCCTAAACTATAGACGCGTTCACATTGCATAACATTATGCTATATTAGTACTTACAGTTAAGGATACATTGTTAAGGATTTGACTTCCGGCGCTTAATGAATTCGAGAACTCAAACAGCTAATCGCCGTAACAAGTCACGGGGGCTCACAGAAACTTACTAACATTTGCATCAATGCCAATTAATTTTGCGCATGTGTTGTAATTCATAAGTATAGAAATCCGACAATTTTAATTGAATTCTCAGAACTTTTCGAATCTTTTTTTTTATAAATTTTGGAGGCGCGTTTCTGATCCGATGGTAGTTTCTGCGAAACGCTGCTCTTACTAGGGCTAGTGTTAGCAACGTCATCAAGTTAGAGCCCCGCGAGCTCACCTACTCGGTTACGCTGGCATAGCCCCCTAGTTTACCAGCATAAGTGGAAAAAAAATTGGGATAACTTTTAAATATTCAATTGAAATATATCGTCTCGAAACAAAAAGAGAAAGAAAACTCATCGTCGAAAGATTGTCTCCTCCTTTAAATTAGAACCAGTCAGTCTCAAAATATAAAAAAAACTTGCTGTACCCGTCCGCTTCGCTGGGCATTTAAAATTAACATTATTATTTCTCACCCCCACAAAGATTCTCATCATTAAGAGCCCCCGCAACTGGTGTAGGGAGACCAACTCTCATATAAATATTAGCCTATCCATGAAGTACATATATTTTCTATATGGATACCAAGTTTCAAATCAATCGGATGCATGATTCAGTTGTTATAACGGAACATCCGTAAAAACCACTGTAGATTTATATATTAGTATAGATACAGAAAACCACCAACCCTAAATTCGATCTTTGATATCGATAATTCCGTTTTAAAATAAACTAGGTACTGTCAGTTTCAGTAAACATAAATATGTACTATATTTTGCCTCGTTAAGGACTCTGTCGGCGAGTGTACTTCCGGTGTTTTACCGGGTTCAATGAGGTTAAACCGTTACTGCAATTAAATTTGTTTACGTTCCGTTACAACGTTTCTATTCGAACTGATGTTGGCATGATGAGTTTTTTTTTTCGACCTACCAAAGCTGATGGTCTAGAGTTCTAGAGGGACCATATCAGCGTAACCATAACTAGTAGGTGAGCTCACGGGGCTCGAACCTGACGACGTTGCTAACACAAACCCTAGCAAGAGAGTCGTGCTTCGCAGAATCTACCACCGGATCGGAAACGCGACCCACTGAGAAGATCCGGCGAGAAAATCAGTGGGCTGTGTCTGAGAGCCCTTCGTCGCAAGCGACGGGTTCGACGAGAACGATGATCGGGGCATGATGACAATACGTAAGGCATGCTTGTTTATTCAAAATTCGTAACCTAACCTAAACATCAGCCCGCTGAGTTTCTCGCCGGATCTTTTCAGCGGGTCGCGATTCCGATCCGGTAGCAGATTCATTTGCGAGCAGTTACTCTTGAGTTGTTAGGTCTCCTTTGGAGGTGCGCTTGGGTAGATGTTAGCAAATTTCCCCCCTCCTGGCTGAGCCCTTGCTCGCCCACCTGTCCTGGTGAAACTGGAAATTCCTCCGGGCCACAAGTAATCCCACTATCTTGAAAAAAATTCGTCCCAAACAAAATTCCAAAAAATAAAATCAATCTATTTTTCCTAGTGGTAACACACAGTACCGAACCACCCTATTTCTTTCGCGACATACAAAATTATATGTTCCGCTAGTGTTTATGCAATTCAACGGAATTAAGAAGGCAAAAATAAAATTATTACAGTATTAGGATTAGCTAAGCATCAGATATTACCTGATAATGGGGCAGGTTGCGAGCATATTATACTTGTTGGTAAGAACCACCATCCTGCCTATTTCCGATACAGTTTTGAGAGCAGGTATGATTTTACTGGCGCATTCATTAACCACTGCTCATGATCGACCTTGCGTTCGATCTATGCAAAAGCTCAAAGCATTTGAAACACGCCGCGATCTCTCCGCCGATCTAAGCCAACAAAGTTTTCACGACACCGAACGCTAGCTGTCAGGACACTTCCTATTACGTCACGTCGAGAGCATCGCTCCAATAACGGGTCTCGTTTTAGATCGGTAATGTGTGTCGGACACTGCTATATGAATTGTTTACGGTGAAACACAATAGTTCCTTCACATTTAATGGGCAGAAATTGATCAGATTACGGGAGACGTTTTCAAGTTTTTTTTTTGCTTAGGTAGTTGGATGAGCGTGAGTTGCCTCACCTAATGTTAAGTGGTTACCGGAGACCATAGACGTCTACAACGTAAATGCCGCCACATACCTTGAGCTAATAGTTCTGAGGTTCCAGTTTAATAGTACAACGGCTGCCCCACCCTTCAAACCGAAACGCATTACTACTTCACGGCAGAAATAGGCGGGGTGGTGGTACCTACCCGTGCGGGCTCACAAGACGTCCTACCAGTAAATTCTTAGTATTAATGCCAGAGTATTTTTATTGGACTTTAATGAAGCTAATCACGTAAACGCGTAGGGACCGTATCATGACAGCGGACTCCAGTACCAACTTAACATCAGGTTGACCGAGAGCCCTTCCACCAATTATTGCAAAGATTTTTGTATATTTTTACCTTTCCTCAATTAGCTATGTAATTTCGGCACACGAACACAAAGTGCTATGTTCAATGTGATTAGCCAACGATTTTAAATTCGAGCCAATATTTCTATTAGCGTAAAAAAAATACAACAATTTATTTACATTTTATTACGATTCGATTTTAGTTCAATTGATTACCGTCTGAGAATTCGTTCGATGGTTAATTATGTGTCTTCGTCTTGATAGTACAGATGTGATTTAATTATAACATATTTTTTTCCTACCTAAGCTGATGAGCCTTGAGAGGCTATTTCAGCGGAACCTTAACTAGTAGGTGAGCTCACGGGGCTCAAACCTGACGACATTGCTAACACGAACCCTAGCAGCAAGAGCCGTTCATTGCAGAATCTACCACCGGATCGGAAACGCGACCCACTGAGAAGATTCGGCGAGAAACTCAGTGGGCTGTGTCTGAGGGTTAACATTGTACTGACGCTGCGAAAAACAAAACGGTCAAATTTCGAAACACTCTCTTGCCTATTATGCCGTGAAGTAGATTCATTTTAGTGCAAGATACAGAGGACAATTTTATTGAAATATCGACCTCAAATCTCAAAGTTAGCTCCGTTAGCACCGATAGCTGCTAACCGATGAACCGCGAATAATTATCTCATTTTGTTTTATCTTTCCAATTTAACTCGTATACCGTATGGCTGCAAGTTTGAGAACCGGTTTCATTTACGTCATTACCTTCAAAAACATCGGTTCCTATTTAAATATACAGCTTATATGTGTGCATTGACACTTTAAGGAGTCTCTTAGGCTAAAAAGGTAAGCTTTTAAAAATAAAAAATAAACATTTTTGTTATCTGCTCTAGATGGCAATTAATGCACTTGACTTCCTTCCTATCATTTATCGAAACAATACTTAGATATAAGCAAATTAGATAATTTTATTACTCTTGTTAAGGAGGGTAGGTGCTAATGCTTCGAAGGAGGTTCGAGAAGAGTACTCAGTGGTAGGCGGTGGCTTGTCTGCTCCCTTGGCATTGCTGTTGTCTATAGACACCCCTAGTTGAGCACTAGGCTAGTCTATCTACAAGGACCAAA